CAGGAGCTGCATTTTGATCAGCATTGCTTTCCACGATGTCGTATGGAAGGATTGAGAGGCAGGGAGCATAATTTGTGTGTTTAAAACCTCCTCATTTTTTGCGTCACACTTTATAGCGAAAAATGTTCAGAGTTTAAATCGCAGTACCTACGTCATCTCTTAAGGCGTTAGGAGGGGCAGCATTTTCGTGAATGTGTATGCAATTTTGGTAGGACGACACAAAAACAACAGGAAAGGCCAATCTCAGACACCTTGAAAAACCTTGACACACTGTTTTTACTAAATTCCATCTGGAAGGGAGCTGGTGCACCCCAGTGAATGCGCTGTGAACAAGGGCATTGCAATCCACGTGACATCGCCTCTTCCAGTATGACCCTACAAAGTAGGGATACACTGCATTTTGGTTAAAGTGGGAGACGCTACGCCCGTTTGAATGCAGAACTAGACGAGGGTATCAATGCAGCTGGATAAGGAAGAGAGTGAAAAGAAAAGCGATTAAATGGTTAAAGTGTTCAGTGTGTTCAAAAGTGAGTGCCTCTATGATATCAGATGTGGCCTTCCTTTTACTTCATCTCATCTCAACCACGAATTTGAAGCAACAGAGGGATAATTGCAGAAGTATGAAAGGAGGTAAATTCTATAGCCGGCATATTGTCATATTAGAGGTAGTGTTGCAGACTAGGTGATAGCACTTGTCCTTACTTATCAAGCTGCTCTTAAATGTAGCAGTGATAACAATTGAAATGGCCATTTGGAAGAGTGGAAAGAACTTCGAGACTGAGTTAAGCATCGCCCTCTACGATGGGCGAGTTATTAACTGATTAGCCGCCTAGCAGCAAGGTGAGATGGTGTCATGACACAAATTGGTTAAGAAGGGCAGAAGCGCTCGGGGTACAGGAGAGGAGGAGACGAAAATTCTCTTCCTCTGGTCAAGAGTATGTGCAGATTGAAGGGGTAAAGTGGTGAAACTAGCCATGCAAATCGGATAATTCATGCAAACAATTAAGGTGGTCGTGTTTGGTTGCTCGAATTAGCCAAAGAGGCAATTGAAAAAAAGAGAAAAAGAAAGGTTTATTCTCCCGCGAAACTAGGCTACACTAAGTCAACTCTCGGAAGCGTATGTGAAGTAATTCAGGCCGATGAAGTGGAAAAAGTTGTTTACTCTTACCTTCCCCCTATCTTCGTCGAAAACAGGAGTATCTGCAGACTTGACCACTTCGTTATCAAAGAAAAAGGGATCTGCAAGGAGGGTAGGCTACTTCATGCCAATTAAAGGTGTAGGGTATGAGGAATGCCTCACAATTTGTAAGCCGAGCCGAAAAAAAGATCTCAGCATCTACTCCTGTGCTGATCCAAACACCAAGCGGTGCTTGCTTCACCGACACTAATATATACTTCCGTAAAAGCAACAGGAGGATAGCAAACTTGGCAGAGTTGTGCTACTAAGTTATACTTTTTAGTCGATTACCTGTGCTACTGTGATGGATCATGACACCTGAGTGAGCAATGAGAAAGTGATCTCAACCCTCGAAGAGGCGTCAGGGTAGATTTTGTTACATTAAAATCTTCTACGTGCTGCGGTACTCTAAAGTACAGGTGGACGGGTTGACACAATCAACTGCCTTCGAGTAGAAGTTAAAAATGTTTCCAAAGTCATCGATGAATCGGAGCAAGTGAATAGATATGGGTGGAAGTGGTTTATTAAAGCTGAGTGTCAAAGATGGCTTAAAAGAATGCGAAATTTTGGTGTAATTTTTCTCAACACGTGCGACAGGACATCTGCACCACAGTTATTGAGGAAAAAGGCAAAGGAAAGTGCTTTCCCTCCCCGCATATCTTAAGTTCATTATTCAGTGTCTATAATATAGCACTATTTGCTTATACACTCCGTATTTATCTACATCACCATCCACCCCATTTACATCCATCCTATCATTCATCCCTGCACCAATTTCCCAACCTCTTTAAGTCCATATATTGCCGACTGTCTAGACGGAAACGCATTGAACACATGTGTAAGAAACTGGAAGAGTGGACAGTAGTGTGTCTGTATCTATTGAATGGCACTTCGTGTGCTGACACGGATCATCCGCATGATTTGCGGTAGAGGTGAATTTCACTGTCGGTCAAG